AGGCAGAATAAAATGATTCAAGGGCTTACTGGATAATCCACATGAATTGTAGAGAGGAATCAAAGTAACTCTCAGAACTGTGGCTATAGGGATTAGTTAAAAACTGATATAATTAATAAACCCAGAAATATAAGAAAAGGATCTGGTGCTATTTGGATTCATATTGTATCTGTTTGATGTGAGGGGTTCACAAACGTCCTCTAACAGCTGATCCAAAGTCCACGGCACCATTACTGGCTCAGATGTAGTAGGCATGTTTTACATCTTTTAATTTGTGCACACCTCACATAGGTATTGAGTGTATAACGTGTCTTGGGCACTGTTTTAGGTGCTGGCATGAAAGGTATTGAAAACCCAAGTTTTCCTTGTAAACTAAGATTAGTAAGGCAACTGATGGGATCTTTCATAATATTCTTGTGAACAAATTAAAGAACAAAATAAAGGCTGATTCCAGACAACTCAGTACACTGATACGAGTTTAGATTGCCTATTCAAGTATATGTCATTAGGGGATAGCTATTGTCTTAAAGAAAGATCTCACCTGCGTTTGGTCCTCAAACCAAGTTTTTTCAACTACTTTAGTAATTGGGTGGATGAAGATGGAGGAAGTGTGCTCATCATACTTACTTTTAAAAGGGTGAGAGAAATTTGAAAACAGTATCCATAATGACTTTGGATAAAATCACCATGAAAGAGCTGAGCCCAGATAAAATTTAAGAAAGTAAACATCAACTTATATTTGGAGGAAGATGCACTTGTACAAGCACATGATTGAAATAATGAGACAGTCAAGAGTTAATCTTCAATTTATTAGTAGAAATACAGCATAAGAAGTAAGGATGTTGAAAGTACCAATCTGCCCCTGTTGGAAAAGGTCATGGGGAGGACTTGACTGTAGACTGACAAGCTGGGTGCAGGAAATCAGACGCTTGTCTCCCCCTCTCCTGTCCCTGGAATGTACGTTTTTCCTCTGTTCCCACAGTGGGAATCATTTTCAAGGACATAACCTTGAAAGAGCAATGTGTTGGGGAGACCATCTGGATGGCATACGTGACTGAACACAGTCAAGGGCTCTGTATAAACACTTAAGATTGTGGCAGGTGGGTGTGGAGATCTACTTGTTCCATGGACCCCAAGATAAATCTTGTAAGTAAGTTCTTTTGCTTATTACACCTGCCAACTGCCAATGTGGAGTGGCCTGCTTCTTTCCCAGTCTCTCCTTGCTCCTGTGTTCGGGGGCTGTTCTATTAAAATAAAAAAAAAAAAGGTCTCGCAAATGTCAGACCACACCTACTCTATGGTCGCACTTGTGCAGGTCACCCTTTACAGAAGCACCCACATCAAATACAGCAAAGGCACTCAGGAAGCCAGGGTATGGAAGGCTTGAAGTTGTAACACACGAGGAAGAGATGATGGAAGTGAGAATGTTGATTTTGAGAAGCGTAGAATTATTTGGGGGTGTATGCAGACAGGTGGTGGGACTGAGGAACACACACAGTCTATCTTAAACTGTTTTTAAGCAAGGATTATGGCCAGGATGTTATTTTTTTAAAATTTTTTTCATGTTTACTTATTTTTGAGAGAGAGAGAGAGACAGAGTGCAAGCAAGGGAGGGGCAGAAAAAGAGGGAGACACAGAATCTGAAGCCCTGAGCTGTCAGCACAGAGCCCAACACAGGGCTCTCACCCATAAACCATGAGATCATGACCTGAGCCAAAGTCAGACGTTTAACAGACTGAGCCACCCAGGCGCCCACAGGATGTTATTTTAAATGACCTCTTGGAGTAGATTTGAAACCAAAGGGTGAGAACTTCAGAGCTGCAATCAGAGGGATTGCAGAGGGATTTTTTCTGAGTCTATCCAATCATTTGCCGGATGTGTTGTACATCATCAAGAAAAGTAATTTCAGACCATATCATCTTTAAAAAAAAAACACAAAACACCCTTGAACCTTGAGATTCTATGATTTTGTGACCTGAGGACTCAAGGACTATGCTCAAGGACCAATACCTTTTTAATCCCTTTGAACTTGGTTCCAGACCCCCCTCCCAGGATCCAACTCAGGCACCCTCCGCTGTGCATCCAGGCCACTGCATTTTTGTTGGCATGGCCCCAAGGTCTGCAAGGTCAGCAAGAAACTCAAGGCCTTCCAGGCAGAAATTGGGCAATGCATCTACCCTCATTAGGATGCATGTCGCTGAGGTTTCGGCAAAAGGGGAGGACGGAGAAGCAGACATTTCCAAGGCATTTATTACTTTGGCAGAAAAAAAAATTACTAAAAGGGAGCAGGTTTTAAGTTATTCTTTTTATTTTGACAGGGTTTCTGGGGGTGCAAGACTTTCTTCTGAGTCACCAAGGCAGCCACGATGTGACTATTTCAACTTGCTGGGAGTATTGTTTCTGAGTCACAGTAATAGAATGATCTGAACATTTAAATGCTTTCTGTCACCTGGCACATCCGATCTTCACGGCTGCACCCTCTTAATATTCCTCACGGCACACCACACTATGAAAATACCGCAGGGTAAAAGAATTGTTCTAATTCATGAACGAATCGTTCAAACATCGGGTCCGTATTTCACAGCGATTCTTTTTTTCCTTTCGGAAAATACGCAAAAAGTAATACATGACTCATTTGTTACAAGTTCCATGTTTTCACTGCAAATTCCTAGTCAGGCTTTGGAATTGATGCTTCCCTTCTACTATTCCCATATTCTCTGAGTCACCAAGGTTTTTAGATGTTGGCAGGAGAGTCTGTTCCTATGTCCTCATAGCGTTCCACGTGGCTGGGAGGGGGTATAATTCTGGAAGTTGAACCAGGAGTGAGTGTAAATCCCACCCTTAGATCTAGGCACCCATGGCCCCAGACCTGGCTCCAGAGCTTTGCAAGCCTTCTCAAATAGATTCCTCAGAATATTTTTAAAGGCACCATGTGATTCACTAGGTCTGGGGTTGGGCCTGAGAACTTGAACTTCTAACAAGTTCCCAGGTGCTGCCAATGCTGCTGGTGCACAGATACTTAGAGAATGGCTTGTTTAGTGATTCTTTCTGGCTCTCCTCCAAATGCAACCCCTCCCGCCCACCCCTGGGATGAGTAGTTCATGTGACCAAGGGAACTTGCCAACCTAGAGACTATGTCACTCCCTCTCAACCACACTCTCCACAATTCCCTGTGGAGACCAGTGTACATGGGTCAGAAAGACCCGTGTACACCCTTCCCTAGTGTGTCTTCCTGATGGCAGATCTCCTTGCCAGCGAGCACATGCCTGGGCTTAAGGGTTGGCAAAGGGTCAACCATTTGGAGAAGGCTTAGCTGTGTGGGCTACAGTGTGGCCCAGGCCGTCTAGTGGTGCAGAGAGAGATTGGGGAAACAGGAGAAAAGGGGTGCACTCTCAACAGAGGAACTTCTTTTGCTTTCTTGTAAATAACAGGGAGAAATCCCATCCTCTTACAGCTTACCCAGATGTTAAGGCCGCAGAACAGTAGCTTAGACGGTTCCAGTTGTTGAGGACCCAGTGCATCTAAAGTGCTCTTCTTAAACTTAAGAACATTTTCTACCCTTTCATGCAACCCTCCCCTACATTCCCCAGGTGACCACACAGTGTAGGGAACAGTGTATGTAGGCTTTGGGTTCCCAGATTTCAGCTGGAACCCCCACTGTAACTTTTCTGCAGGAATCTGAGCAAGTCAGTCACGTTTGAGCAAGAGGTCATTCTTTGCCCCTGGCTTCCTGAGGTCGATTTTGGGTATAAGAATGCTTTCTACTCTCTTCCAGCCCTTCCTCATTCCCACCCAATTTACTTCTCTTCATCCCTCATCCTTTAGCTTAAATGCCACCGTCTTGATTAACTTAGCACCTTCAGCCGATCTGGAGGGAACTGCATTCTTTTTTCATTGCACTTTGTCCATATATATATATATATATTTTTTTTTTTTTTTGGATTAATGTCCACTGGCCCACTGGATTCCAAGCACAGGGATCATGTCTCTTTAATTCTCTAGTTGTGTCTGCTCCACTTGGCACGGAACCTGGTACCCAATGGATGTTGAACCTGTGCTTGCCAAATGAGTATATGAATGTGTGGTTATTGTTGAAATTGGAGATAAAATATCCTAAGTGACTGGCGCCTAGTAGGTGCTTTATAAGTGACACTGATCATATTTCAGTGCAGATGACACTAGAGTCACACATTTTATTTTGTTTCTTCCTACTTGATGCATGGCGAGAAACGGGGTGGATTTGGGACAACTGCAATCTGAACCGTCCAAGACCAGAAAAAATGTGGTGTGATAAGCTACTGGCCCAAACACCCAGAATCATGACATACTTTTTAAAGGCTTAAGATATGAAAGACCCATCATTGAAAACAAAGGGTAAAAAGTACAAGAAAAAGTTATATTTGTCCATGGCGCTCGCCCCCTACAACTCATACCCCAAATAACACACCTTTCTGAAAAAGCCTTTGGGGAAAGGAACTCCCCACGAAGTGCCCAGCCGTCCCCTCGCCCCCTGTCACGTCTAGGGACTATTTTATCTGTCCCTAGACAGATAAATATCTGAATATCAACCAGCCCAATTATTCCCCTTGCCCACTATCTCTGTGGCCTGCACTTGAAGAAAGAAATGATCTTCCTAAATCTGTGAACAGGACACTTTTTTTTTTTTAATGTCAAAATAAACCATCTGCTTGTACAACTGTTTCTAATTACTCGTCTGCCTAGACTCCGCACTTGAGGGGTTTGGTACCAGCACCCCGCCCAGAGCGGTGCCGCTGCCCAAATCCTCGCAGGCAGGCAGCTGATCCAGGCGCTCGCCCCTCCGGGTAGAGGCCCGATCGGCGCGTCCCGCGTCCCGGGGTCTGCGTGTCCGTCTGCCTGCGGTCCGGTCTGTGCGGCTGGCACCCCGCCCCGCCGAGCGCCCCCCACCCCACCCCCTCCCACACCCACCGGGAGCCCCGCCCGCAGGAGCGCTGCTCGCCTGCACTGCCCGGGAGCTCAGCATGCGTCCCGCAGGCTTCAGGAACTTCTTGCTGCTGGCCTCCTCCCTGCTCTTCGCGGGGCTCTCAGCCCTTCCTCAGAGCTTCTCGCCATCTCTGAGGTAAGTCTGCTTTGTTGTTCTTTGAGACCGACCTGCCCGGCTTTGCGTAGCAGGGCTCGAGTTTGCAGGATGGCTGCCCCCAGCCAAGAGCAGTGAGAAGCTGACCACGGGATAGAAACTCTTTCCAAGCTGTTCGTGTTGCTTCCCTTGGATATCTGCACTGCGTGTCGCTTCGTGTCTGTCCTTAAACGTCTCCTCGGGCAAACGACGGTGACTAACTATAAATATATGATTTCCTCCTATTTTAATGCAAAGCGGGAGGAACTTGTGCCATGAGACTAAGGAAATCAATCCTATGTGTACCTGTGTGTGCTCATAGCCTAGAAGGCAGACTTATTCCACAGGGTCTGCATTACATTATTGTATTGAGTTTTGAAAGAGACTTTGAGGCACATAAGAATAATAACTAAACTTTTTAAAAGTAAAGTTGATAAGCACTGCCTAATGCAACTAGAAAAATCTTATGTCCTACCCTACATATCTATCTCTTCTTTTTCATAAAAGGCTGCCCCTCGCCATCAGGTACCAATGGGCCTTTTTATTTTATTTATTTATTAATTTTTTTTAGTATTTATATATTTTTGAGAGAGAGAGCGCGAGAGCAAGCGGGGGAGGGGCAGAGAGAGAGGGAGGCACAGAATCTGAAGCAGGTCCCAGCCTCTGAGCTGCCAGCACAGAGCCCGACTCCGCTTAGAACCCAGAAGCAGTGAGATCATGTCCTGAACCGAAGTTTGACACTTAACCCACTGCACCACTCAGGTGCCCCAGCAATGGGACTTTTTAAAGAGCACTGAAAAGTCAGCCAAATGTCATGCTTTGCATTCATTTGCATTTCATCAAAATGCGCATATGAGATTCTGTGCCAAACTGTCAAGAGGCAGGGCTGGGTCGCCTCTGTCCACCTGGAAAGCGGTCGTCTTCCTATGTGTGCAGGTCAGCCCTCAAGGTTTTGGGTCATGATCATTTCTCTTGTGATGGCCCAGGGTGGTACTTGCTTGTCCCCTCCCCGACCCCCCCCCCCCACACCGGAGAAACGTGGAACCTCAGATTTCCTTTCTGTGAAGCTGAACGTCGTCAAATGGGTGGACATCGGGGTGGTTGGGGAGAACGCGGACTCAGAGCACAAGGGGCGGCGTCTGCTCTTGACCATGGCCCTGCTGTGGTTTGTCGCCCTTGCAGAACTGGGCCGGGTGCCGCCTGCAGGCTGTCCCGGGCCGAGTCCGAGCGCCGGTGCCGCGCGCCCGGGCAGCCGCCAGGGGGCGCTCTGTGCCACGGCCGCGGCCGGTGCGACTGCGGGGTCTGCATCTGTCACGTGAGCGAGCCCGGCGTGTTCTTCGGGCCCCTGTGCGAGTGCCACGAGTGGGTGTGCGAGACGTACGACGGGAGCACCTGCGCAGGTAAGTGGCAGGCGGCGCACCTCGGGCGCGGGGGGGCGCACTCCCCGCGGGGTTTCGAACCACTTCCGGGAGAGAGCGGGGGGGGGGGGGGGGGGGGGGGGGGGACTCCACGCTGACAGCAAAGAGCCTGATACAGGGCTAGAACTCACAAACCTTGAGATCATTACCTATGCTGAATTTGACTCAACCGAAATGTGAGCCAAAGGTGGGCAGGGGATGTGGGGGAGGTACCTGCGAAGTTACATTGGAGTTGAGACCTAGGTGGCATGCACACACATCGGGGGGCGGGGGGGGGGGGGGGGCGGGGCAGGGGGCTCCCTGGCACCGCCCACCTCCAGGTGACTGCCTTCCCCGCGGTCCCCCTCCCGCGCCTCCTCCCTGAAATCACGTGTCTCCCCGCGCTCCTCGCCGCAGGGTCCAAACTTAAGTACAACTAGTCTTGGTGACATTCGCTCCCTTGATTGTGCCTCTCGCTTGCCTCTATTTTCGCTCCTTTTTGCACACTCAGTGCCCCAACTGCCTCTCCCACGGAGTTAGGTTGGTGGGCTGCTCTACCCCAATCGTGCGTGTTAATCGTATTTGCAGAACAGAAGCCAGTATTTTATTTTTACCAAGGAAACGCAGGGGGGAATATTACTTTCCTGAAATCCGGCGGGGTAGGTTGTGCCTTTGAGCTCTGATTCGCCTTCTTCCTCTTAGGGTCTAGTTCACAGATAGAAGACCGTATCAAGGGAAAAAATAATCTAATCTAATCTAATCTCCTAATCTATTTAGAAGCGATTGCTTTTGTATTGTTTTAGCCGCTTGGAGTTTTCAGCCGCAGTGAAGCTTGGTGTTTTGTGAGGGGTGGAGTCAAAATAAATTCATTTCTCTTGTACATTTTTAAGGAGTGGTTCAGGTTGTGATCTTGGAATGGATCAAGCTGTCTCTGCATCGAGAACACCCCCAGCCTGTACCGCTTTCGCATTTACTTAGGGCCGTTCATTTACTTAGGATCAGAACTCTGTTGGGTGGCTGTGAATGATACCCAGGCTCCTCTGTTAGTAAAAGGACCACACACAATGGAGTCTAACCAGGGGTTGGCAAGTTTGTGGGCGACAAAAAATCACAACTTATTGTACCCACAGTGTAGTGAAGAGTCCAACACTAACAGAGGTGAAGAATGAGTTTATAGCAAAATGGGTTTTTTCTTGGCACCTGGGCCCAGAAGTTCATCGTGAGAAGACCCCCAGTGGAAAAGTAGTCACTTAAGTCATTTGGAGGGGACAGGTGCTTCTATGTGGCTTTGTTTACCCTTGAAGGCTGTGGCTCAGCCCTTCAAAAGTACTGAAAGCCACAGGGGCGCCTGGGTGGCTCAGTCAGTTGGGCGTCCGACTTTGTCTCAGGTAATGATCTCACGGTTCATGGGTTTGAGCCCCATGTCGGGCTCTGTGCTGACAGCTCAGAGCCTGGAGCCTGCTTTGGATTCTGTGTCTCCCTCTCTCTCTGACCCTCCCCTGCTTGCTCTCTCTCTCTCTCTCTCTTAGAAATAAATAAAACACTAAAAAAAATTTTTTTTTTAAAGTACTGAAAGCCACAGCTCGTTACTCTAACTCCGTCAGTCCCACGAGCTACAGTCTTATTAAGGACAGCCCTTTGGAATGAAAGCTAAGTGTTGTCTAATATTTCGTTCCAAATTCCACTGTTACCTGGCTTCTCTGGCTTGTGTTGCCTCTGGCAGGTTCTCTTCGATATCATGAGTTCTGACCACAGTTTTTTCAGGACATTTTTAAATCGTTCTTTCATTGGAAACGTATGAAAAAAGATGTGGTCTTGAACGGGTGAAACTAGTTATAGGTGCCATCAGATAAAACTTCCCTATTGAAGAAGCTTATCTCCTTCCTTCATGCAAAACTATGCAGTGGGAGTGCAGTGGGTTTATAGTGTTCTTGTTTATCTCCCGTGGAAAGGGATTTGTGGTTCACTTATAACATCTCACTGCATTTTTTCCTCCCTGATACGAAATGCAGCACTGAGTGATGCATGGTTTGTCTGCATATGCATGCATTCCCATAGACGGCAAAATGTTTCTCTTTATTTCAAGGGTGAATGAGATAACAGTGTTTGTTTTCCATTCTCACCTTTGTGACTGATCCCCATCGAGACCTGCTCTCCCGGGCCTGGTGAGAATCTGCGCCCGCAGATGCTCTGAATGCATTTGCCAGGCCACTGAGATCTTTACACACAGCACCTTTGAGGTGCTCACCAGCTTACATCCTTATTCTGTGATTCACATTGAGCTTCTCAATTCTGTCTTCAAGAACAAGTTCGTATATTGTAGCTATGAAGGAAGAAACGTAGCAAGTTGTCTTTTATGTTTTTATGTGCACCTGGGCCTTTACCTCTATGGTGCTTTCCAAAAATAGAGTAGGTTTCAGAGACTCCCCCCCCCAACCCCTTTGAAGAAAATAAAATCCTGCTCTGATAGCATATCATAGAGCCCTTAATACTCTGGGATCTGGGGGAAATAGTTCAGGAGTCTAATCCCAACCCCACCACTTAATAGCTGTATGAACTTGGGCAGTTCCTTAAACTTTCAGAGCCTTGATTTTTTTCATCTGTAAAATGGGAATGATAACATTACCTATTTTATAGGATTGTTGTGAGCATTAACACATGTAAAACACTTAGAACAGTGTTTTACACAATGTGCTTAGTACATATAAATGTGTGTGGATGCCTATAATGTTATTATAGTGACGCACAAAATGTGAGCTGGTATGGATAGATAGATGAATAGGTAGATAGATAGCCTGGCTTTATATTTGTTGGATGTTTGATGCAGTGAGAGCAATTTGGTTTTTGTAATGTAGCCTGGGCCTGTTATTGATCCAAAGCTCAAAAGGTCGAGCAAGGATAGCTATTTTGGCCTAGCTTCAGAGCAGCTGTATTAGATACACCATGCCCTTTGAAATTTAAGTCCCTCGGGATTTTTATACTGTGAATCATAAGAAAGATACTTATTTTAGTTTGAGCCTGGTTGAAAGTGATTACGTGTATACTGTCATAAGTGGTTTATTTCTTCCAGTTTCCAACTTGTTCTTGGTACATGAATCTTCCTTGGACTTCTGTAGTGTAAAGGTCTGGCTCAGAAAGTGTTCCTGTGCGTGTCACAGTCAAATGAGAAGAAAACTAATTTGGGTGGGCTATTTCTTTGAGAAGGGTAAAATGTCTGGTTATATAAAAACAAACTTTCAGCTAGTATTTGGAAGCATCTCTGAATGACTCCTTGAACAGGTATGATTACACTTAAATAAAATATTGTGGCTTTTTAAGTTTATTTATTTATTTTGAGTAAGAGAGAAGGGAGAGAGAGAGAGAAAGAGCATGGGAGGGGCAGAGAGAGAGGGAAAGAGAGAATCCCAAGCAGGCTCTGTGCTGTCACTATGGAGCTTGATCTCAGGAACTGTGAGATCATGACCTGAGCTGAAATCAGGAGTTGGAAACTTAACCAACTGAGCCACCCCGACGTCCCTAAAATATTGTGTTTTTTTTTATCTTTTCTAATCACTTTTGAAATGTATCACTTAAATGAGTTTCAATTTTATTTTATTTATTTTTTAAATTTTTTTAAAAATTTTTATTTATTTCTAGGAGAGAGAGAGAGAGACAGCGTGAGCAGGGGAGGGTCAGAGAGAGAGGGAGTCACAGACTCCGAAACAGGCTCCAGGCTCCGAGCCGGCAGTCAGCACAGAGCCCGACGCCGGGCTTGAACCCACGAACCGCGAGATCATGACCTAAGCGAAAGTTGGATGCTTAACCGACTAAGCCACTCAGGCGCCCCTAAATGAGTTTCAATTTTAGTAACTAGGAAGAACTAATTGAGTTGAATTTAGCAAATACTTATAAAGTGCTGTATAGTTCCTAGATCTTCTGCTATTGAAGAGGGTACAAAGATGTGGAAAATAGGGGCACCTGGGTGGCTCAGTTGGTTAAGTGTCTGACTTTGGTTCAGGTCATGAACTTGCAGTCTGTGAGTTCGAGCCTTGCGTCGGGCTCTGTGCTGACGGCTCAGAGCCTGGAGCCTGCTTCGGATTCTGTGTCTCCCTCTCTCTCTGCCCCTTACCCACTCACACTGTGTCTCTCTCTCTCAAAAATGAATAACCATTAAAAAAAAAATTCACACAGATGCTTAGAACAGCATTATCATAGTAGCAAAAACTTAAAAAAAGATGTGGAAAATATGAGATAAGAAACATCAAACACCTATAATGCAGTGCAGAATATACTTTCTATAAATTTCTGTGAGAATTCCATTGAGACAGGAATTAAATATCGTGGTGAAAACAGTTGAGAAAGAGGTAGCTTTTGACATAAATCTTTGTGCCTAGAGAGGTTTTTAGTCCAAAAGGTGGTCTATTAAAGTTCTCAGGGAAGAAAAATTCAAGCAGTGGGTTAGAGGCAGAAAAGCATGTGGGTGTGTTTGGGAACTAGTGAGGTATTCTAGGTTTGGCTTGGCTGGATCGTAGGGCTGTGGGGAAACTACAGGAAGATATTTTGAATTACACTAGGACATGCTGTTGAGAGCTCTGAACCTGAATGTGAAGTTTGTGCTTAATTAAGCAGCATGTAGGAGCCATGATGTGGTTTGAACATGGGAACAATGGTTAGTACTCTGACCCATGAAAAATAACAGAATGTCTGAGGACATGGCAAGTTCTAGTAGACACTTGATGGAGAGGAACTCCGTTTAGATACTATTTAAAGTATAGTCCAAGGGAGTGAGCATAAGAACTATGATGAACTTTAAAGACTGTTGAAGGTACAGTCAACATGCTTTCGTACCCAAGGATGAGTAAGATGATAGAGCAGTGACTTGGAGTGTGATAGAATTGATGGAATAAGGGTCAGGAAAAAGAACTAGATGACTTCTAATCAATGCCTAGACGTCTTTATTAGAGAAAAAATATTTATTTGAAATCTGAAATTGCTGTAAAAATGAAGAATTATAGCTAGCAGAA